GTAAATAGCTAAAGTGGAGCTTTCTATCTTATACTATAGAAATTCCTAGCTTACTTGCCAAAGCTTGTCCACCCTATTCTAGTATAGCAAAGGTTTAAAGATCTCGACGCAACAAGCAAGGGATTGAGCAACTAGCGCGAAAGCCGTTGCGCTAACGCGCATCCGTTTTCTTGCTGGTTTCAAAATCTCGACCTAACAAACTTTTCGAAGCGAAGTGAAGTCAAAAAGGCATGAATTTGATGACAGGCATAATTCTTAAAGTTGAGATAATCGGGTCTTTTGAAGTCGGAAGAAAGGGAGGTTGCGGAACAAGATCTTTCCTGAGTAACCAATATGTTATCCGAGGGTAGCGTTCCAACTGACTCGAGCAAAAAGGAAAATGAAGAAAAAAATGGTCCATTTGTTGATGGGCGAACGACGGGGATTGAACCCGCGCGTGGTGGCTAAAAGGGCGATTCTTGCTTGGTCTTTCAATAGACAACGAGAGCAGTAAGAGCGGGAACGGAGACTGCACCAGTCAAGTCATCAGTGACGGCCTATTCTCTAAAAGGTCAATTACATCTTTAGAAGTTCAGTCATAGAATTTATGGGATTGGGTTTTTCAATCTCAATGTAATCGACCCTTTAATGAGTTTTTGATCTATGCTATGTCTTGCAGTGATATTGATATAGCAAGTTGCTTTCTTATTCCAAGTTACGGTTATCTCTACCACTTGGGCGATCTGGTATACGAGGATCCATGTAATTGAGATGATATCACTCCTTCTTTTCAGAACATTGTCATGCTCATTCGAAAGAGGATTTTGAAGTCGGCTACTCTTTGCACGGGTTACATATATAACTCGGTTGATGAGCTTTTGATTCTCCGGAGACTGCATGTTAAAGGGCGGCCTCGTCCTGACAGACGCTTCATCCCGGTACTTTGGAGCCCGCCGGTTGTGGGCTGGCTCAAGGTGAACACAGATGGAAGCTCCTTAGCAGCCCCAGGAGAGAGTGTTAGCGCGGGCATATTTAGAGACTCGGGAGGGCGGGTAATTGGTTGTTTTTCCATTGATGTTGGTATCCTCTTTGCGTATGAGGCTGAGCTTTTAGCGGCCATTACTGCGGTGGAGATAGCCTATGATAGAGGTTGGCGATGTATCTGGCTGGAATGTGACTCTGAATTTGTGGTTAATCTTTTTAGTAATAAGGTCTTGCAGAGCCTTGGAGATTTCTGGCTCGTTGGCTCCGAGTCCTGAGCCTCTTACCTTTATTCGAGTTTCGTATCTCTCATATCTTCAGAGAAGGTAACTTGGTTGCAGATGCCCTCTCCAAACTTGGCTACTTTTTGGACTGGTCCAATTCTACCCCTCCGGAGATTGTTGATTTTCTTAGGGATGATCAGAATAGAGTCATCGGAAGGCGAGGAGCTTTTAAGCCAATCTTGCCTTAGGCGCATCTTTCTTTTCTTAATTGACTCTTTCTAAGACTGAAATCGCGACCTCAGCGCTTGCCTCTCTTCCTTTGTCTAGTATGTGACTGCCTTTCCTACCAAAAAGCTAACCCAACCCTCGTCAGTGGTCCTTATCCCAAACCACCTATACTTTTCGTGATGAGCGTTATTAAACTTCTCAAAAATCTTCTGATTTTTAGCAACAATAAAGAAGAGTCCAGACCCAACGAACGAAGCGAAGCGAAGTGAAGTCATAGAAAAAGAAGATCTATTTACTTACGAAGTTGTTCCAATTGATTGGCATTAACCCTAGATCCTTGTCCCCGAGAAATGCATTTT